TGACATTTATAGGAAAAACATGGCGGGTGACATTACTACTGAAGCCTCTTACTGGACATTTTCAAACACGCTGGAAAACCGTATACGACACGTATATATATATTTTATTTAAGAGCGTACGGAAACTTTAGCGGAGTAGGAGTACTTTACCTCTGAGTAGAATTATGTGAAAATAAAAGAGAGAAAAAATAGCTCGTAGCTGGTTACTGGTATCAAAGAGACAAGATGAGTTGCACTACTGCAAAGAATGAATGTTATCAGTGTATAGCTCATTTGCTTTGTCGCTTTGCCCTCCAGGCCTTGTCTTTACAAGACAAACTCCTTTCAAGCGCTTTTTCCTACCCGCAATTTATATTCCGTTTAACGGCTTCTTCTCTTACGCCTACCATAAATAACATCAATTACGCATGTACCTTAAGTACTTCCAGCATACAAAGCCAATAATACTTTACATAGACTAAAAATGCCCTTCGTGGTTTGGCATGCACGTTTTATATTCATGGACGCACAAGGGGTATAGAAGTAAATGAAATGACAACGATAATGACGATGATAATAATAAATAATATCAATAACCTACAAGATAATTAGTGAAGATATCCGTCTTCTGGGTTATTGCGCTGTGTAGTCTGGTCGATGTTAACCAACGTTTCAGAGGTCATACTGCCTCCGTCATCAGGGCGATGAATAATCAAGTCTTACAAGATAATTAGTGTTTACGAAAATCCACCACTGCTCCTACTCTAAGCTAGGTTATTCAGGCCAAAAGCCTAATGTCCTTCGTTAAGATGGATTTAATTTTTTATTTATATCTAATCAAGTGTCTCCCATAGGTCTCTCAACATTTTCTAAGTAAACTTTTTATAATACAGTACAGTACACCTCCGATCTCTCAGAATACTGATACGATATTACTTCTTGGGTAAGTTCACATGATTAATTTCAACTATTTATTTTGTTTTCTATATTCAATTTTCATTAATAGTTTGAAACCTTTACTTCACAGTCCATATACAAAACATTGACATCACTACGAAATACGAAATACAAACATATTAGTGACCTGTGATACTACAACGAATGAAGAAACAATATAAAGGACAAGAACATCATAAGAAAAATCATTAAAAATCAGTAATTCAGTGAAAAGTTTATATACATATTTATGCATTTCTAAAGTCACCTGCGTGCTATATACGCTGTCAATCTTATCTTTATTGACATAATTTATCATTATTTGTCGTACAGCACAACTCCTCAGTTGTTCTTAAAACTGTGACGGTTGCTTTGCCAGGCATATAAGCTATAATTTTTGATACCGGACAATGAAAGTGACAGAGACCACTGCTTCAAAAGATTTAGTATGATGATTCTCTGATCATTAAAAAATGTGTGTCGAAGAACATTTTTGTTTGGATATACGCCAAAAATAAATAAAAAGTTAGTGTGTCACGTGATTGCATGGTAAAAATAACATAGATTCGCGCCTGTATTAAAATATTGTCACCAGTATCAATGATAAATGCAGTGTTTTAATTACTAATATACTTCTTGCTGAGTAGAATATAAAATACAAAATAATCTGTCTTGTTCTTAATGGACTAGTTAATTAACTAGAGGCCCGTACATATCTCCGTATTTTCTTAAAGAAGCAATCTACTTGTCACTAAAATTAATATTTCTCTAACTCGATCTGTCACCAGCAGTTTCTGATGGAGTGTGGTGTACTGTGATGGAAAATAAATTAATGTGACTGCTGATAGCAAGTAGAAAACTATCAAGAAAACCTCATTTATCATTCATTTTCCTTCGTTGCTATTTTCTACGTTATTTCAGTGTACACTGTATTTAAGTCCGCTAAACTTTTCTCCCATGATTCACGTCTGAATTAATTCTTATTTCATGTTGAGCGAAGCGAAGATTTTCGTATCACTAACCGCAGCTGCAAAAGCAGTGAAAGAAAAACATGTTTATTTGAAGTGACGGTACCGATTTTTATAAGGTAGACATTATATGCACGATATAAGATTTGAGGTTTTCACAGCGATGAGTATGAAGATTTCTGTCTTCTGGGTTGTTGCGCTGTGTAGTCTGGTCGATGTTTACCAACGTTTCAGAGGTCATACTGCCTCCGTCATCTGATAAATGAAAAAAGGAGAGACTCTAAATTGTAAAACGTTAGAAGACAACCCTTCAGATACTTTGGGCCGAGTGGTCTAATATAGATTGGTCGACCATCTTTCCATGATGCCTTTATTTGTAGGAAGGGGTTATTACAATAATCGTCGAGTCTACTAAGCATGGAAAATCATACATAAATTTGACATTAGTTTTAACAGGGAGCGGCAAGTACAGGAAAACTTATTCCCTACATTAGGTCCACAATTTTATTTGTCCTCAATGGCGAAAGGAAAAGGTTCAAACCCGATACCACAAATGTTAACTGATGGGGTAAGCCAAACAGAGCACAAATTATTTAAACGAAATGGAATAAAACGTGGACCCTATGGACAGTGAGCAGTCAGTCACTGGCGACAAGGAAGCTACAGACTCTTCGTATACTTGGACAAATATTTATTACTAGCGGTGTAATGAAATGTCTTGTAATGCTGTGTTTGTTTTGTTGATAGCTTCCGATTACTCACCAACACACCATTTTATTTCTTTCAACGAGATCATCTTCTTTTGTCTCCATTCAACCCACTTCTTTGTACTCTTACTGCAGAAGACGCCATCACTTTTGCTGGTGATATTGGAAATCCAATTTCTTTTCCCCCAAACATTTTACATCACTTACGTTTGTGTTCTACTGAGTTGGAGCAGAAAGAGGTTGTTAAGAAAATTTTAAAGGGGTCTTCCAGTTTAAGGAATACTAGCTTCACTATTCAACAACCACGATCAATGTCTATAGTTAATAGATCTTTCGTAATGCATACAGACATCTTCACATTCTCTTTTGAGAAAGAAAGGCACAAAATGTCGCTTGATAATAAGATCCTCAGATATATTATTCTTAAGAAATAAACTTTAAGAAAACTATATTGTTATTAGAATTGAATTAGTCAAATCTTTCTGAATAACATAACTAAATAGTTAAAAGTTGCAGCAATCTTCAGTAACTCTTAATAGGATAGCAATTTGTATCAATAATATTGGTTGAAAAGATTACCGCATATTTACCACCTTAATATGAATATTACACGTGGATTTGAATTATACGGTTCCGTTCCCGACATGTGCATTCAGACATAGGTTTATTATAGTTCTATGTTCCTGCCATGTGACGTTATATGCGTTTTTAAATAGCAGTGGTGAAGACAAAAGAGTGTAAACTGCGTGGAGGCAAATATTAAACAATTTTTCAGTTGCCTCTAGATAAATTAATGAATACTTTTGAACTGAAAATTAATTTAACTTTGTTTATTTCTCAGTGAGAAATGTGTTTCGGTTATAAACACCACTGCCTCAACAAAACACTGTCTTATGTCGTATGCCACACAAGGAAACTTGTTTACTTCGCTTCAAGACATTTGCAAACACCAGTTAAAATGCAAAATCAGATTTAAAGTATATTCATATAAGATTCCGGATGCGTTTATACGAATTTATTGTTAATTTCTCTATTATAAGTCTTAAAGTTCGTTAGTTGAATTTAGTGACAGTGAAGCAAGTTGTAATTACATTTGGGAAGAACAGCCTTTCCTTGTTTCATGCGTACTGAAACCATTTTCTTACCATGACACGATGAAGCCGCCGAGGGAGATGTCTCCTACAGTTAATACTAGGCCGGGCAGAGAAGTGGGTGGGACTTCACTAACAAGCAAGACATTTACTTTGCGTCTTCACTATTTTAAGAACTTGATTCGTTAAGTCCTAGTATCGTAGACGACAGCACTGGCACCCCAGTAATTTGTTGTAGAACACGTAGATCTAGTTTCCTTCCTGATGGTCGTCCAGAAAAGGGTAACTTGCTGAAAAGTGACTGATACTCCACTACACACACTCACTTATCTTACAATAATGCCCCCTCACCCTTAACAAAACTGTAGCAAACCTACGTTTGAAAGTACCGTATTCAGAAATTGTATTACGATGCAGCAGATAACTGTCCATATCTGGCGTACGTAATAACTTCAGTTTAGAAGTCTATCAAACACTGTATTATTTGATAGAAAACAACATAATCCCACTTGCTAATGTGACGATCTAACTAGTAAAATGTATTCTGCTTTCACAACGATCAATAAATATACTCCATTTCAAGGTTTATGTGTAGAGTATGTATAAAAATATCTTTGGGATAATAACTCAGCTGAACAAAACATTACTCTGAATGTTTAACATGCCTCGTCCAATCCTTTTTATATAAAATAGAAAAGGTGCTTACAATTAATTATTAAAATTTAGGCATTTCATTGTTCGTTTAGAAAAAAAGAGCATAGAATAAGCTAGAAATTGACAAAAAACAATTGATAAATGTTTTCTTTTGTTTCACTTCATAAAGTTTAGTAAATTAATTAGCTGCATTTTTCAAGAAAAAATTAATACATTAGAATTACATTACGCAATTAATCGGAGGGTTCATTTCTATACGCAACATATGGTTCACCACCTACAACAAATTCTATTAAGACAGTCACCACAATATAAATACTTTCGACGAATTTGACACACGATTTTTCAAAAATGTTTTAGAAATATTAAGAAAAATAACATGCACAGAAATCTTTAAAGGGCACTTCCCCACTTAGTACTTTGACAAGAAGTCGTCTTGAAAACTTACTACGGCACGAAGGTGAAGTAATTACATATGTCGGCATTAAACGGAGAAGATTATTTAGTTTCACGTAACTATAATCTTTTCCCATTTCCCTCGGGAAAGCAGCTCACCATGCCCATTGAACACGAGATAATGCAGTGTGGCGCTCAAGTTAGGAAAGAGAACTTGCAGGAAAATAGATTAAGATTAAGGAAGCGAAGAATAATTCGAGTACTTACACAGTCAATTAGAACTACCGGAAGACTACAGCGACTCAACTTCAGTACTACTCACCTGCAAAGAGAAGAAATAATTATATTCGAAACCCTGTAATTTACCAGAGATTTCTGCGTTCTCACGGCGGCGTGTATGAAGATGGCTTCTGGATTTTGCGCCTTGAAGTCTGGTAAAAGTTGTACCTTATTCTCAGAAGTGGCTCCTTTCTCTTTCATAAGAGCATCATCTGTAAACTTCTACCTGACTACATGGCGCAATAATTCAGAAGATTAGTTGGAAACATACAAAGAATCCTTTTAGAGGAATTAAAAAACTGAAAATAAATGAAGAAAATTAAATATTAAGCATTCAATATCAACTGAGCTTTCAGTTAAAAATACCATAATTACCCTGACGTGTAGTTTTCAAATCACTAGGTCTAAAGAATATTAAACATTTATTTTACCCATTCCTTTTACGATTGTCGAACTTCGAAATACAGCGTGTGAAATCAAAATTATTTTATGTATTTATCTTCATACTCTCCGCCGGGAGGAAATCACATCATATTAAGGGCCACCTTCTTTGTGGGATCTGTCAGATTAAGCACGACCAAAATACTCAACCAATTGACTTCTGACGAAGACACAGCCAGCCTCCGAAACGTCGTAAATCCAAAGATAAAAGTTCAGCACTCAAAGAAAATGTTCCCATGACAATATCACACTACAGTAAAAACTATTTAGTAGCAAAATGAAGGAATTTTGTGCATGATTTAAGGGTATGTAATATAATGCATATATATAATTCATCCTTCATCATTTCTTACGGATTGACTTCAAACCTTCGTGTGTACGGAAATTTGGCTGTTTGCCTAGATATCGTGTTCTTACACTACAATCCCATATATCTTTTGTTAACAGCTAACGATTCCCTCTTGGTTCCAAACTGGAGGGGCTAATTGCAGTACGTACTGTGATAGACAATTGTGACCTCAAGAATACACGGTACGTAGTGAATTCCAACTACACGCTGAAATGAAATTAAGTTACTTCCACGGAATTCATAGAAACAAATATAAATAAACATTCATATGACCACGAACCATTTATATATCGATATTTGTTGCTACATATAGCTCTTCCTGTTAGTAACGCTAATTAAAACATGCAAACGGATGTGCACATTTTAATTATTGATATTATTCGGAATTTTGTTTAATCCTAAATGAAATTGGACTTTTAAATGAAACAAGGTCCTCAGTAAACACAGTACAAAGTATGAGCCAGTGGGCCTGAATTCTAGGATATTCTCACAGTAGGCATCATATTTATTAAGCCTTAGAAGCCAAAGTTCGTTTAAATACTGTAATATACAAGAATTAAGTCCATAACGCAAGCTTCACTATTACAAAGATGAAATGGTTAAAGTTGTGAGAAAATAATCACAGTTTACACTAACAATCATAGAAATAAAAAAAAATATAAATTCAAAATATAAAGTTATTGTCTGTTAAAGCAGGCGGGTCATATAGTTGCCAATGGGCTTTAAAGTGTAAAGTTATCTTTTAATCTTGCGAAATGGAAGAAATGGATTCGCCCTTTAATCATTTATAATTCGAGGCTGGTCGAAGACACAAGATACGGTATCAGTTGAAATGGACAGTGCTTTTTTTTTTTTTTTTTAAAAAAAAACGAATTTCCACGTGGCAGAGGCTAAGAACTATTGGAAGACAGTTTCAAAAATTTGCTTTACTGGACTTGACTGAGACATGAAAACCTGTGCCCCCTTCTCAGAGGTGCTTCCCTAATTAAGAAATATGAGCGTTTTTTATTCCGCCAAGTTTTAACGGTAGTACCTGGCAATACAATGCTACCCGAGAGATTACATTTTGATTAACATTTTCCTTCGCCATACTGCCGTGACTACGTCTCACCCAGAATCGACACACTGCTGAACTCCGATAATCTCTATCCTATATTATGGCAAAAATCAAATTTTTAAAATGGAGATACTAAGAAACTTTAAAAATTTATGTTCATATTTCATGCTTAACACTGAGAGAAGCCGCTTAGGCATGACCGTGTTGTGAAGAACTGGGTGCTATAAAACTTTAATAACCATGAAAAGTGAGGCCAAGAACTTATGATAAAATGAACAGAGACAAATATGGAATAATTGTGGATGACAGTATTTTTGTATTTCAGATTTTCAAGGTGGCGATTATGAAAATAACTGTTTCTAGGATATTTCGCCGCACAGTCATGTAGAAAGAGACCGACATATCAGAGGTGCTTAAAGCTTCCAACATAAGGGACATCGCAGAGTTTACTTCCACGCATACTTTTAAAAGGGGGTAATATTTAGGCATTTTATATTCCAGAAACACTAATCTAAATATAAAGATATGGAAACGGTTTGTATGATAAGGTTAAAAGTTTAAGCGGCGAGACAGCTGTGCAACGTTTATGATTTCCTCAATAAATAATTTTACGTGAGGTCAGATACAAATAGAGAAGCTCGGTACGATATTTCAGTTGTGTACAATCTGAGAATGTGATCATTAGAAACATAAAAATATGGAACTGTCATATCATAATATATGACAAGACGGCGTCATCAATATGAAATTTGAAACAAAACAATTCAAGGTAAACCAGGATTATCTCCCACTCTGTTTCGACTACGTATACTAATTTAAATATTTTATCTGAATTACCGGACGATACATAAAGCCATCAAGATGTGGGTTGAAGAAATATATTGACGTGCTTTATACCCCATAATCTATGACGTCAACGTTCGGATTATGAAATGTTTCAAGAAGGCAGTTTACATAAACAGGTGAGTGTACCGGAAATTGACACGAGATCCGTAGAGGTGTTGCTACCTATCGTTGTGGACTATACCGTGGTTTCGGCGAGCTATCTTTATGCTGTGGGTTTAAACGGATTGTCTCTTTCCGTTCACTTGGTCATGTACAGTAGCGAATGCTGTTTCGAACGTTCTACTCAGCCTGCATTCACATCAGGGATTCAGTCCTCGAACCCCTTTGCTCCACACACGTAAGGAAGGGTCATGCCTTTTCAATCACATTCCATACCGTGTTTTCTTCTACAATACTTGTCCCTGTCTTGTTTCGTTGAGTGTAAAAGAGAAACAGAGAAATGAGGCAATGAAGAAAGATAAGACACTCTGCTTTGGTATTACTATCGATATATATACCTTTTAAAGGTGAAATTTTATATTAGACGGAATAAGTGAAAAGAAACAAAATTATGACGGTAAAATATTCCGCATGCCCAGAGCCTTAATATTGGCAATAAAAGTGAGTTATTACATTAAGCTACGAGTACCAACGGACGTGCGGCATGTGCAATGTCTAGACTGAGGTCACAGACTTGGCATGTCACATATATCCAGCCGTTACTCGTGAAAATTATCTTGGAATACCGTCTGCAATTTTCCTTCTCTCTTTAAATGTCAAAGTTTCGATCTCATTAAGGTATTGCCGCACATGTATAACAGAGTTTCTGATTTTTAACTATGGAATCTAAAATCAACAAGATAATATACGTATGGTGCAAATGTGACAATACTAGTCATTACAATGTCGTTATTCTAAGGTCTTGATGACGTTCAGACTCGTAGGTAGATTCGACGATTCGTAGAAATAACTGTCTCCATCTCCAGAACTGAACTGAGCTTGTTAAATTATCACAAAAGCTTAGAAATTTTCTTGTATTTAAAGTTGCTTTATAAATGGAAGATACTGTTTTGTCTGTTTTAAGTAATAATTAATAAACTTTGCTTTTAAGTTTCACGAAACCAACATATTTATTTGCTTAATTACTTTTTGGTATTCATAGTTTAAAATCATAAAGATGAAGATATCACTGTGCTTAAAAATAGAGCGAAGTGCTGGGGTGGCTTCTGGACTCAATAATGAAGAGAAACATTGGCCAAGATTGTTAAGAATTTAAAAAAAAAACAAATAAGAAACCGAGACTTATTTTATAGAACCAAATGGAATAAAATCACACAGGAAATCACAAATAATTCGATAAGAACAGGCGATAAATGATTCCATCCAGACGTAAGCAAATCGACAACATCAATTACGCTATGACCCATATTTAATATATACGTCCAAATAAATATTTATCGTTTTACTTGTATGTGTAAAATGCATTAATCTACAAAAGAATCATATCTATCTATCTATCTATCTATCTATCTATCTATCTATATGTAGCTTAAACCAGTATTAATTTACCTGATGCCACTGATGATGACCTCTTGAGGTCGAAACGCGTATGGCAATAGTGTCCATTATAGTGTTAATAATTGTTGGTTTGTTTACTCTATATTCTAATACACTACACGGTATGCAAAGTTTTAAGTGCATTTATGAGTAGTGAGTGACCAGCCCACTGGTTCCGTACAATTTCTACTCACTCCTGATTTGAATTGACTGCCAGGGCCATCTAGCAGTGAAGCAGTGAATCAGGAGTTAGAATTGGGTGAGAAATAGCCGCTGAATTTTGCTTACGAAACATCTCGTATCATGCTCGCAAGGTTCTTTTACATGCCGTAAATCTACGACATGGGACCGCCGGCATTACTTCCCCTCCGAAGGAAGTTGCGTTACGGATTTTTATCTCCCTTAAAAATCCATCGCCATCGGCCGGGATTGAACCCGCGAACCTTGGGTCCAGTGGCGAGCACGCTAAAGACTAGTCCACTGACGGCTTAAAGACTTCCAAATAAAATTCCAGGACTTCTCCAGGACTTCCTCAGGATTTCTCCAGCAATTCTCCATGGCAAAATTTTGCGCGTAACGTATCCAGGACTTCTCCGACACTACTCTAGGCCTTTTTCAGGATTTCTCCAGGATTTTTCCAGGAATTCCTCGGGGCTTCTCCAGCACTTCTCCTGAACATCCCCACGACCAACAGATGAACACGACAGAAATTCTCCAGGACACAGCCTAACCCAGAATTATGAAAACGAACTGCCTGAAAGAACAAATTTTTAAAAAATCCTCCAGATTTCCAAACTCAAATGGTGCTGTAATG